TCAGTCTCTGTCCTCCTTCATGAAGGGGTCCCATTCCGGGTCTCAGTCTCTGTCCTCCTTCATGAAGGGGTCCCAGTCCAGGTCTCAGTCTCTGTCCTGCTTCATGAAGGGGTCTCAGTCCGGGTCCCAGTCCGGGTCTCAGTCTCTGTCCTCCTGTGTCCAGGTTCTGATGGGGGACTACAGCACAGAGTTTCGTCCTGTAGACCGTCCTGTGGACCATGTGGGGTACTGTCCCCAGGTGAACCCACTGTGGCCCAGGATCACGCTGCAGGAGCACCTGGAGATCTACGCCGCCATCAAGGGCCTGAGAGGACAGGACGTCCCGGGCATCATCAAACGGTGAGAGAGAGCGTCAGATTCAGAGATGTTTACAGATGTTTACAGATGATGTTTACAGACGTTTACAGATGATGTTTACAGATGTTTACAGATGATGTTTACAGACGTTTACAGACGTTTACAAATAATGTTTACAGATGTTTACAGATGATGTTTACAGATGTTTACAAATAATGTTTACAGACGTTTACAGATGATGTTTACAGACGTTTACAGACGTTTACAAATAATGTTTACAGACGTTTACAGATGATGTTTACAGACGTTTACAGACGTTTACAAATAATGTTTACAGACGTTTACAGATGATGTTTACAGATGTTTACAAATAATGTTTACAGACGTTTACAGATGATGTTTACAGATGTTTACAAATAATGTTTACAGACGTTTACAGATGATGTTTACAGATGTTTACAGATGATGTTTACAGACGTTTACAGACGTTTACAAATAATGTTTACAGACGTTTACAGATGATGTTTACAGATGTTTACAAATAATGTTTACAGACGTTTACAGATGATCTTTACAGACATTTACAGACGTTTACAAATAATGTTTACAGACGTTTACAGATGATGTTTACAGACCTTTACAGATTACGTTTACAGACGTTTAAAGATGATGTTTACAGACGTTTACAGATGTTTACAAATGATGTTTACAGACCTTTACAGATTACGTTTACAGACGTTTAAAGATGATGTTTACAGACGTTTACAGATGTTTACAAATGATGTTTACAGACATTTAAAGATGATGTTTACAGACCTTTACAGACCTTTACAGATTACGTTTACAGACGTTTAAAGATGATGTTTACAGACGTTTACAGATGATGTTTACAGACGTTTACAGACGTTTACAGATGATGTTTACAGATGGTGTTTACAGATGATGTTTACAGATGATGTTTACAGACGTTTACAGATGACGGTTACAGACGTTCTTGTGTCTGTCGTTGTTGTCATTGTTGTTGTTGTCATTGACGTTGTTGTTTTTGTTGTCATTGATGTTGTCGTCATTGTTGTCATTGTTGTCATTGTTGTCGTCGTCATTGTTGTTGTTATTGTTGACATTGTCGTTGTTGTCGTCGTTGTTGTCGTCAGCGTGGTGAATGCTCTGGAGCTGAAGGAACATCTGAACAAACAAACTAAGACTCTGTCGGCGGGACTCAAGAGGAAGGTGAGAAGCTGAGGCGAGTTTTTATTTCCCATCATGCATCACAGCCGTCCTGATGGAACTTCTCTCTTCCAGCTCTGCTTCGCCATGAGTATGATCGGGAATCCTGCGATCGTTTTACTGGACGAGCCGTCGTCGGGGATGGACCCGAAGTCCAAACAACGCATGTGGTGAGAAAATATCAGAAATATTATTAATCTCTAAATCATCTTCATGACCTCTGACCTCTGACCCCATGTCTGTCTGTGAAGGAGGGCCATACGTGCTGCTTTCAAGAACCGCCAGCGGGGCGCCATCCTCACCACGCACTACATGGAGGAGGCGGAGGCCGTGTGTGACCGGGTAGCCATCATGGTGTCGGGCCAGCTGAGGTTGGTACTGAGCGCCGTCTCAGGCATTCACTGTGTTTAGAGAACATGAGTCACGCTGCGTCTGTTTCTCAGGTGCATCGGCTCCATCCAACACCTGAAGGGGAAGTACGGTCAGGGCTACAGCCTGGAGGTCAAGCTGAGGGAGGAGCTAACTGGACTCCAGCAGGTGGCGCTGCTGCACAAAGAAATCCTGCAAATCTTTCCTCACGCTGCCCGGCAGGAGAGGTGAGACGGTCTAAAGGTCATCCATAGGTCATCTAAAGGTCATGGAAAGGTCATCGTGCTGTGAAGGAGACGAAGTGTAAACAAAATATTCACACTCCTTTCTTTGCAGCGTCGCTACTCTGATGGTTTATAAAATCCCCAAGCAGGACGTCCAATCACTGGCCAGGTCCTTTTCTCAGTTAGAGAGCGGTGAGACACACACACACACACACACACACACACACACACACACATACACACACACAGCACAGACACACAGACACACACACATACACACACACATACACACACACACACACACAGAGACACACACACATACACAGAGACACACAGGCACAGACACACAGACACACACACACACACACATACAGACACACACAGAGACACACACAGAGACACACACACACACACACATACAGACACACACAGAGACACACAGACACACACACACACACACATACAGACACACACAGAGACACACACACACACACATACACACACACACACAGAGACACACAGGCACAGACACACAGGCACAGACACACACACACACATACAGACACACACAGAGACACACACACACACACACATACAGACACACACATACAGACACACACACACAGAGACACACACACACACACACACACAGACACACACATACAGACACACACAGAGACACACACACATACACACATACAGACACACACATACAGACACACATACACACATACACACACACATTCACACATACAGACACACACAGAGACACACACACACACATACAGACACACACACACAGAGACACACAGGCACAGACACACACACACACACATACAGACACACACAGAGACACACACACATACACACACATACAGACACACATACACACACACATACACACACAGACACACACACACACACATACAGACACACACAGAGACACACACACATACACACACATACAGACACACATACACACACACACACACATACACACACACACACACACAGAGACACACACACACACATACAGACACACACATACAGACACACACACACACACACACACAGAGACACACACACACACATACAGACACACACACACACACACACACACACAGACACACACACACACACACACACACACAGACAGAGACACACACACACACACACACACACACAGACAGAGACACACACACACACAGACACACACACACACACACACACTCTCAGCTGTTACCTGGTCCTACCTGCTGACCTCGTTCCTCTCTCTTTATCTTCAGCAAAGCAAACCTTCAACTTTGAGGAGTTTAACTTCTCTCAGTCCACCTTGGAGCAGGTACGTCTTCTTCTCTCTTTTCTGTTCTTGTAGCTTCTCTCAGGTGAGTGTCAGTCCTCTACCTGTCCCCTCCTCTCCTGCAGGTGTTCATGGAGTTTGCTAAGGAGCAGGAGAATGAGGAGGAGGAGGTGGGCTCCCTCAGTACAACTTTCCAGTGGCAGCGTCTGCGACAGGACGGGCCCGTCTCAGTCAACAACACGGACAGCATCGTGCACCAACTCTAAACGGAGACGTTGACGGCGTGGAGACGGCACTGAAGCCGTCCTGACTGCACTGCACGCCCCTCTGCCCTTTATGGGACGGGTGGAGGCCAGGATCAGGGCCGTTCGGCCTCTGAGGTGTGATGTGTGTAACCCTCGTCCACTGGTGCTCCTTACTGGAGCCTGGAGTCCTTCTGATGGGACTCCTTCTTCTTCTGGTGTTTTTTAAATCTTCACAGGGCGTCAGTCAAAGGAAACATATTTATATATGAATAATATATTCTCTTTATTCTTTCTTCACATCGTTGTGTTTGTCTAATGTTTTTATACTGAGATCCACCATCGTACCAAAGCAGCACACGGCACCGCGTCACGTCCTCACCTGTGTTTGTGTCTGTAGCATTCATCATTAGTAGTTAGAGGAACAGGACGTGAAGACCTTAAACCGAGTCTCTGGTCCTCATCTGACACCAGCATCTGGACCCTCATGGACACACCTCATCCTTCAGGACGAAGCGTTTCAGCGCGCACGTTAACGATGAGGTTATTTGGTGATGTCACACAGATGTTTTGGCGCCATGGCGTTCCTCTGCAGGTTTGAACTGGAGCTCATAGATTCATATGCATGCCACTACATGTAGCACTCTGCCAGCGGCGATGAGCTGTGAAGCTGGAGGACGTGTTCAGAAGCAGGCGTGGCTTATTTAAAGCTCCTCGCGCTTCTGTCTGCGGGGTTAATGAGGACGTGTGTGTGTGTGTGTGTGTGTGTGTGTGTGTGTGTGTGTGTGTGTGTGTGTGTGTGTGTGTGTGTCACTGTGTGTGTGTGTGTGTGTGTGTGTGTGTGTGTGTGTGTGTGTGTGTGTGTGTGTGTGTGTGTGTGTGTGTGTGTGTGTGTGTGTGTGTGTGTGTGTGTGTGTGTGTGTGTGTGTGTGTGTGTGTGTGTGTGTGTGTGTGTGTGTGTGTGTGTGTGTGGTTTTGTTTTGTAGCCTCGCTGGATTAAACGCTGAATCTGTTTTTGACTTTGTCTCTGTGTCGGTGAAACAGCCTCCTGTTGGTCGAACAGCTGTTGCACTTTTGAGATTTTTGACCTTTCTTTATGCAATCTTTGAACGCTCTGATTGAACTCTTTGAAGCCTGTGGTTCACCTGTGTATCACCTGCATGTCTGGACCGACTTCACACACTTTGTTTCATTAAAAATTAAGGAATAAAATATTTGTGAGAACTTTGACCGTTCAGTTTCATTATTTTACCTGTAAGGATAAATTAACTTTATTTTGGAGGGAAACGCAGTATGTCGTTATGTCCGTGTTGACGTATGATGGACTGCAGTTTCGTCATGTGGCCACAGGGGGGGGGCAGTGATCACGTGTGTGTAGATGTACTCTCGAGCAGAAGAAACGAAGCAGAGTTTAATAAACGAGGCAGAGTTTGAATGATTAATTATTAATTTATTAAGATTAATGAAATAAATATCCGCCATGATGAACTGAGCAGGACTCTGCAGATCGCGTAGCTCCATGTTTGTCCCTGCCCGGACTCCGTCCTTCCTGTTGAGGGTGTGGACCGTAAAGATGACTTCACAGTAATGGAGGAGCTTCTCTTCTCTGACTCTTCAGTTAAGAACTCGGTCTAAACCGGACAAAGTTCCCGGTTCCTCCCGGTGATGCGGAGTCGGGATGGGAAACCTGTTCGGGAAGAAGAAACAAAGTCGCGTGACGGAAGAAGACAGGGCGGTGTTAGTGAGTATCTGTTAGCATGCTAATGTTAGCATGCTAACGTTAGCATGCTAATGTTGTGAAACTCTAAATCTCGTTAATTTTTAAACTTTAATGTTTTTATCAGAATATTAAATAAGAGATTAAATCATGATTTACATAAAGTGAGAATTAAATACCTGTTTACCTGATATAGATCCACACCTGTAGATCCACACCTGTAGGTAATATAGATCCACACCTGTAGATCCACACCTGTAGGTAATATAGATCCACACCTGTAGATAATATAGATCCACACCTGTAGATAATATAGATCCACACCTGTAGATAATATAGATCCACACCTGTAGATCCACACCTGTAGGTAATATAGATCCACACCTGTAGATAATATAGATCCACACCTGTAGATCTACACCTGTAGGTAATATAGATCCACACCTGTAGATCTACACCTGTAGGTAATATAGATCCACACCTGTAGGTAATATAGATCCACACCTGTAGATCCACACCTGTAGGTAATATAGATCCACACCTGTAGGTAATATAGATCCACACCTGTAGATAATATAGATCCACACCTGTAGATAATATCGATCCACACCTGTAGATCCACACCTGTAGGTAATATAGAGCCACACCTGTAGATAATGTAGATCCACACCTGTAGATAATATAGATCCACACCTGTAGATCCACACCTGTAGGTAATATAGAGCCACACCTGTAGATAATGTAGATCCACACCTGTAGATAATATAGATCCACACCTGTAGATCCACACCTGTAGGTAATATAGAGCCACACCTGTAGATAATATAGATCCACACCTGTAGGTAATGTAGATCCACACCTGTAGATAATATAGATCCACACCTGTAGATAATATAGATCCACACCTGTAGATAATATAGATCCACACCTGTAGGTAATATAGATTCACACCTGTAGGTAATATAGATCCACACCTGTAGATCCACACCTGTAGGTAATATAGATTCACACCTGTAGATCTACACCTGTAGGTAATATAGATTCACACCTGCAGGTAATATAGATTCACACCTGTAGGTAATATAGATCCACACCTGTAGATAATATAGATCCACACCTGTAGATAATATAGATCCACACCTGTAGATAATATAGATCCACACCTGTAGATAATGTAGATCCACACCTGTAGATCCACACCTGTAGATCCACACCTGTAGATAATGTAGATCCACACCTGTAGATAATATAGATCCACACCTGTAGGTAATATAGATCCACACCTGTAGGTAATATAGATCCACACCTGTAGATCCACACCTGTAGGTAATATAGATCCACACCTGTAGGTAATATAGATTCACACCTGTAGGTAATATAGATCCACACCTGTAGATCTACACCTGTAGGTAATATAGATCCACACCTGTAGGTAATATAGATCCACACCTGTAGATCTACACCTGTAGGTAATATAGATTCACACCTGTAGGTAATATAGATCCACACCTCTAGTTATATATAGTTAAATGTCATCATAGATCACACATCCGGTTTATCCTAACAGCAGTAACTCTGCCCCCTAGTGGTTAAAATGGGTACTGCAGTCTAAATTCTAAACATCATAGAGATCTGTCCCCCCTCCTCCTCTGTAGAGTGGATGCTCACTCAGGTCACCATGTGGTGGACTCTGAAGCTTCAGTGTTTATCCAGCTCTGCATGGGTCTGTAAACCTTTCTGTGTTCTAACCTCTCTCCATTTTTCAAAAGCATCTCCAATATTGATCCTAGTTTGAGCACGTTTCTGCTCGTGGAGCTTATTAGAAACATGCAGAGGCTTTTTAGGTCGGATAGTTTTATAAAATATTGATCCTAGTTTGAGGGTTTGTTGGTTTGACCTGATAACTGCTCTCATATCTGGTTTCTTCTCTGTGTTCTTTGCAGCAACTGAAACAGCAAAGAGATAAACTGAGACAGTACCAGAAAAGAATCAACCTGCAGCTGGGGAAGGAGCGACTTCTTGCCAAACAGCTGCTGAGAGATGGAAAGAAAGAGTGAGTCTGTACACAATGTTCTTTATATGTTCCTCCTCATGGTTTTATTTCTATATATTTGGTCTTCAGTCTTGATCATGTGTGATCGTCTTTCAGTCTTTAATAAAACATGTGTTGGGGTTTGATTCTAATCGTCTGTTGGACTCTGACAGGAAAGCCCTCCTGTTGCTGAAAAAGAAACGTTACCAGGAGCAGCTCCTGGAGAAGACGGAGAACCAGATCGGGAACCTGGAGCGCTTGGTGAGTAACCTCCAGGGTCCCACTGCACGGCTGCTGACCCTAACCCCTGAACATGAATAAATGAAATGTTTCTGCTTCTCTCAGGTTCAGGACCTGGAGTTTGCTCAGATCGAACAGAAAGTCATCGACGGCTTGAAAGTTGGAAACAGCTGTTTGAAGAAAATGCACGAGGTAACTGACGTGTGACCTCCGTCACTCTGTGATGGCGACCTCTTGCAGTTGTTTGACCTCTGTCACTCTTGTTGTCAGGTGATGTCTATTGAAGAGGTCGAGCGGATCATGGATGAAACTCAAGACGCCATCGAGTACCAACGGGTAGGTCGCCTCTCAGAGCTCGTGTCTTCACTAAACGTGAAGTACAAACTAATGACCCGCTAACCGTTCGCTCGTTGTCTCTGCAGCAAATCGACGACATGCTAGCCGGCTCGTTGTCTCCAGAAGATGAAGACGCCGTCCTGGCCGAGCTTGAGGCCATCACTCAGGTGTGTTTGATCAGGGTCGTCTTCTGTCTGATGGCAGCATCACCACAGTTCAATGACATCATGAATAACGTGTTCTGACCCCCCACAGGGCGACATGGAGCTGCCTGACGCTCCTGAACATGACTTACCTGAAGTCCCCGAGGACGCCGAGAAGAAACCAGGTTTGTGTCCAACGCGCTGCTGAGATTATTCCAGACGCACGATGTGTTCATGTGGTCGTTTTCTAAGAAACCCGAGAGGTCGTTGACTTTCTGCTTCCTGTTTGTTTTTTCAGCGAGGGAGCGTTCCAGAAAGAAGCCGGAGCGCGAGCTGCTCGCTGCATAGGAACTCGTCTGACCTCCGTTGGCTGACCCGGTGATGACCACAAACATCACCGGAGAACTGTCCCGCCTTCAGCAGCTGCCGTGGGGACGGGTCACCTGCAGCACGCTCTTTTAAAACATGAAGACGTGTGACTGTTCGTCGGACTCTCTGAAGACGTTTTCACTGAATCATTTCAGGAGGACGCCGTGGAAGTGGCGTGCATCATCAGAGTCCTCCATAGGACTCTATGATGAGAATATGTGTCTTTCTATCAATGAATCTCAATGTAAAGTAAAGTGGAGAAGAACATCCTGGAGAACAGGAAACATGCAGCAGCAGGTTGATTAGAGCACAGAGATGGTAGAGGTGGCGTGCAGACAGTCTATGGTCGTGCAGCGATCACAGGGAATAAAGGTCACCACCCCCTCCCACTGGCCCCTCCCACTGGCTCCAGGTGAATTCTCCTGATTATATCCTGCTGCGTTCTGTGTTAATAAAGTCCTCTTCTTTAATATTAAACATGATTTGGTTTTTCATGCTGAAGGCGTCTCTGCGTCATAACCCCGAGTCTGCAGAGTGACGGCGTGCGTTACGATGAAAACTGCTGACTGTCCCATCACTCCATCACTCCATTATTCCATCACTCCATCACTCCATCACTCCATTATTCCATCACTCCATCACTCCATCACTCCATTATTCCATCATTCCATCACTCCAACACTCCATCACTCCATCACTCCATTATTCCATCACTCCATCACTCCATCACTCCATCACTCCATTATTCCATCACTCCATCACTCATCACTCCATTATTCCATCATTCCATCACTCCAACACTCCATCACTCCATCACTCCATTATTCCATCACTCCATCACTCCATTATTCCATCACTCCATCACTCCATTATTCCATCACTCCATCACTCATCACTCCATTATTCCATCATTCCATCACTCATCACTCCATTATTCCATCATTCCATCACTCCAACACTCCATCACTCCATCACTCCATTATTCCATCACTCCATCACTCCATCACTCCATTATTCCATCACTCCATCACTCATCACTCCATTATTCCATCATTCCATCACTCCAACACTCCATCACTCCATCACTCCATTATTCCATCACTCCATCACTCCATCACTCCATTATTCCATCACTCCATCACTCCATCACTCCATCACTCCATTATTCCATCACTCCATCACTCCATCACTCCATCACTCCATCACTCCATCACTCCAACACTCCATCACTCCATCACTCCATTATTCCATCACTCCATCACTCCATCACTCCATCACTCCATCACTCCATTATTCCATCACTCCATCACTCATCACTCCATTATTCCATCACTCCATCACTCATCACTCCATTATTCCATCATTCCATCACTCCAACACTCCATCACTCCATTATTCCATCACTCCATCACTCCATCACTCCATTATTCCATCACTCCATCACTCCATCACTCCATCATTCCATCACTCCATCACTCCATCACTCCATCACTCCATTATTCCATCACTCCATTATTCCATTATTCCATCACTCCGTCACTCCAACACTCCATCACTCCATCACTCCATTATTCCGTCACTCCATCACTCCATCACTCCATTATTCCATCACTCCCTCACTCCATCACTCCATTATTCCATCACTCCGTCACTCCATCACTCCATTATTCCATCACTCCCTCACTCCATCACTCCATCACTCCATTATTCCATCACTCCGTCACTCCATCACTCCATCACTCCATTATTCCATCACTCCCTCACTCCATCACTCCATCACTCCATTATTCCATCACTCCGTCACTCCAACACTCCATCACTCCCTCACTCCATCACTCCAACACTCCATCACTCCATCATTCCATCACTCCATCATTCCATCACTCCGTCACTCCAACACTCCATCACTCCCTCACTCCATCACTCCAACACTCCATCACTCCATCATTCCATCACTCCATCATTCCATCACTCCATCACTCCATTATTCCATTATTCCAACACTCCATCACTCCATTATTCCATCACTCCATCACTCCATCACTCCATCACTCCATCATTCCATCACTCCAACACTCCATCACTCCATCATTCCATCACTCCATCATTCCATCACTCCGTCACTCCAACACTCCATCACTCCCTCACTCCATCACTCCAACACTCCATCACTCCATCATTCCATCACTCCATCATTCCATCACTCCATCACTCCATTATTCCATTATTCCAACACTCCATCACTCCATTATTCCATCACTCCATTATTCCATCACTCCAACACTCCATCACTCCATCACTCCATTATTCCGTCACTCCATCACTCCATCACTCCATTATTCCATCACTCCCTCACTCCATCACTCCATTATTCCATCACTCCGTCACTCCATCACTCCATCACTCCATTATTCCATCACTCCATCACTCATCACTCCATTATTCCATCATTCCATCACTCCAACACTCCATCACTCCATCACTCCATTATTCCATCACTCCATCACTCCATCACTCCATCACTCCATCACTCCATTATTCCATCACTCCATCACTCCATCACTCCATTATTCCATCACTCCATCACTCATCACTCCATTATTCCATCATTCCATCACTCCATTATTCCAACACTCCATCACTCCATCACTCCATCACTCCATCACTCCATCACTCCATTATTCCAACACTCCATCACTCCATCACTCCATCACTCCATCACTCCATCACTCCATTATTCCATCACTCCATTATTCCATCACTCCGTCACTCCATCACTCCATTATTCCATCACTCCATTATTCCATCACTCCATCACTCCATTATTCCGTCACTCCATCACTCCATCACTCCATCACTCCATCACTCCATCACTCCATTATTCCATTATTCCATCACTCCGTCACTCCAACACTCCATCACTCCATCACTCCATCACTCCATTATTCCGTCACTCCATCACTCCATCACTCCATCACTCCATCACTCCATCACTCCATTATTCCATTATTCCATCACTCCGTCACTCCAACACTCCATCACTCCATCACTCCATCACTCCATTATTCCATCACTCCATCACTCCAACACTCCAACACTCATCACTCCATCACTCCAACACTCCATCACTCCAACACTCCATTATTCCAACACTCCATCACTCCATCACTCCATCACTCCAACACTCCATCACTCCAACACTCATCACTCCATGACTCCATCACTCCATCACTCCATCACTCCATCACTCCAACACTCCATCACTCCATCACTCCAACACTCCATGACTCCATCACTCCATCACTCCAACACTCCATCACTCCAACACTCATCACTCCATCACTCCAACACTCATCACTCCATGACTCCATCACTCCATCACTCCAACACTCCATCACTCCAACACTCCATCACTCCATCACTCCAACACTCCATCACTCCAACACTCATCACTCCATCACTCCATCACTCCATCACTCCATCACTCCAACACTCCATCACTCCAACACTCATCACTCCATCACTCCATCACTCCATCACTCCATCACTCCAACACTCCATCACTCCAACACTCATCACTCCATGACTCCATGACTCCATCACTCCATCACTCCATCACTCCATCACTCCAACACTCCATCACTCCAACACTCCATCACTCCAACACTCCATCACTCCATCACTCCAACACTCCATCACTCCATCACTCCATCACTCCATCACGCCAACACTCCATCACTCCAACACTCCATCACTCCATCACTCCAACACTCCATCACTCCATCACTCCAACACTCCATCACTCATCACTCCATCACTCCAACACTCCATCACTCCATCACTCCAACACTCCATCACGCCAACACTCCATCACTCCATCACTCCATCACTCCAACACTCCATCACTCCATCACTCCAACACTCCATCACTCATCACTCCATCACTCCAACACTCCATCACTCCATCACTCCAACACTCCAACACTCCATCACTCCAACACTCCATCACGCCATCACTGCATCACTCCAACACTCAAACACTCCATCACTCCAACACTCCAACACTCCAACACTCCATCACTCCAACACTCAAACACTCCATCACTCCAACACTCCATCACTCCAACACTCAAACACTCCAACACTCCATTACTCCATCACTCCAACACTCCAACACTCCATCACTCCAACACTCCATCACTCCAACACTCCATCACGCCAACACTCCATCACTCCAACACTCATCACTCCATCACTCCAACACTCCATCACGCCATCACTCCAACACTCCATCACTCCAACACTCCATCACTCCAACACTCCATCACTCCATCACTCCATCACGCCAACACTCCATCACTCCAACACTCATCACTCCAACACTCCATCACGCCATCACTCCAACACTCCATCACGCCATCACTGCATCACTCCAACACTCAAACACTCCATCACTCCATCACTCCAACACTCCATCACTCCATCACTCCATTATTCCAACACTCCACTCCATCACTCCATCACTCCAACACTCCATCACTCCAACACTCCATCACTCCATTATTCCAACACTCCACTCCATCACTCCATCACTCCAACACTCCATCACTCCAACACTCCATCACTCCATTATTCCAACACTCCACTCCATCACTCCATCACTCCAACACTCCATCACTCCAACACTCCATCACTCCATTATTCCAACACTCCACTCCATCACTCCATCACTCCAACACTCCATCACTCCATCACTCCAACACTCCATCACTCCATCACGCCAACACTCATCGTCTCTGTTTGGTTCTTTTGCAATAAAACTCTTTTTACTGTCGTTCTTTGTGTTGATGCAACTGTAATGACTGAAGGTGAACACCAGGGGGAGACGGAGCTCTACAGTAGACTAATGATTGAAGGTGAACACCAGGGGGAGACGGAGCTCTACAGTAGACTCATGACTGAAGGTGAACACCAGGGGGAGACGGAGCTCTACAGTAGACTCATGACTGAAGGTGAACACCAGGGGGAGACGGAGCTCTACAGTAGACTCATGACTGAAGGTGAACACCAGGGGGAGACGGAGCTCTACAGTAGACTAATGACTGAAGGTGAACATATTACATACATATAATATTTACACGGGTAAAATCAAGGGCTGGTCTCTGAATCAGAAACAGGCGGTGTCGCAGCAACAAAAAGATTGTGTTTTTAAAGACGTTCTGTAAATGTGAGAGTCTCTCTCTCTCTCTCCCCCCCCCCCTCTCTTTGTGAATGGACGTCCGCCGCTCGCTTCCTGATGTGCATTAAACTCATTGGTGCTGTGTGGGAGTGGGAGTGGGCGCCACACAGACGAGAAGCTGAATGTCAGAGCGCCGCGCTGATGAATCACTGACGTGGATCTGAGGAGGAGGAACATGAAGGGGGGTCAAATGCTGCTGAATGGAGGCTGCAGGTGTGCTGCCTACCTGACTACACCTCCACACTTTACTGAACACATAATCTTAATCCTTCAGACCAGGGGGAGGGTCTAACCCTACCACAAAACTTCAAAATAAAAGCACACAGGAAGTAAAGTACTCTTAGCCTAAGACAGGACAGACAAACATTCAAAATAAAAGCGCTTTCTCTGAGGGTCTTCCTCTGAGGGTCTTTCTCTGAGGGTCTGTGTCTGAGGGTCTTCCTCTGAGGGTCTGTGTCTGAGGGTCTTTCTCTGAGGGTCTGTGTCTGAGGGACTGTGTCTGAGGGTCTGTGTCTGAGGGACTGTGTCTGAGGGTCTTCCTCTGAGGGACTGTCTGAAAGACTGTGTCTGAGGGTCTTCCTCTGAGGGTCTTCCTCTGAGGGTCTTCCTCTGAGGGACTGTCTGAAGGACTGTGTCTGAGGGTCTTCCTCTGAGGGACTGTCTGAAGGACTGTGTCTGAGGGTCTTCCTCTGAGGGTCTTTCTCTGAGGGTCTGTGTCTGAAGGACTGTGTCTGAGGGTCTTCCTCTGAGGGTCTTTCTCTGAGGGTCTGTGTCTGAGGGTCTTCCTCTGAGGGTCTTTCTCTGAGGGTCTGTGTCTGAGGGTCTTTCTCTGAGGGTCTGTGTCTGAAGGACTGTGTCTGAGGGTCTTCCTCTGAGGGTCTGTGTCTGAGGGTCTTTCTCTGAGGGTCTGTGTCTGAAGGACTGTGTCTGAGGGTCTTCCTCTGAGGGTCTTTCTCTGAGGGTCTGTGTCTGAGGGTCTTTCTCTGAGGGTCTTCCTCTGAGGGTCTTTCTCTGAGGGACTGTGTCTGAGGGTCTTCCTCTGAGGGTCTGTGTCTGAGGGTCTTTCTCTGAGGGTCTTCCTCTGAGGGTCTTTCTCTGAGGGTCTTCCTCTGAGGGTCTTTCTCTGAGGGTCTTTCTCTGAGGGACTGTGTCTGAGGGTCTTTCTCTGAGGGTCTTTCTCTGAGGGTCTGTGTCTGAGGGTCTTCCTCTGAGGGTCTTTCTCTGAGGGTCTGTGTCTGAGGATCTTCCTCTGAGGGTCTTTCTCTGAGGGTCTTCCTCTGAGGGACTGTCTGAAGGACTGTGTCTGAGGGTCTTCCTCTGAGGATCTTTCTCTGAGGGTCTGTGTCTGAGGATCTTCCTCTGAGAGTCTTTCTCTGAGGGTCTGTGTCTGAGGGACTGTGTCTGAGGATCTTCCTCTGAGGGTCTTTCTCTGAGGGTCTGTGTCTGAGGGACTGTGTCTGAGGGTCTTCCTCTGAGGGTCTTTCTCTGAGGGTCTGTGTCTGAGGGTCTTCCTCTGAGGGTCTTTCTCTGAGGGACTGTGTCTGAGGGTCTTTCTCTGAGGGTCTTTCTCTGAGGGACTGTGTCTGAGGGTCTTTCTCTGAGGGTCTTTCTCTGAGGGTCTGTGTCTGAGGGTCTTCCTCTGAGGGTCTTTCTCTGAGGGTCTGTGTCTGAGGATCTTCCTCTGAGGGTCTTTCTCTGAGGGACTGTGTCTGAGGGACTGTGTCTGAGGATCTTCCTCTGAGAGTCTTTCTCTGAGGGTCTGTGTCTGAGGGACTGTGTCTGAGGATCTTCCTCTGAGGGTCTTTCTCTGAGGGTCTGTGTCTGAGGGACTGTGTCTGAGGGTCTTCCTCTGAAGGTCTGTGTCTGAGGTCAGGGTTAAATAAAACAAGTGGAAAAGATATGGAAGCCCACCCAGGACATCCATACTTTTTATTTTACGTGATCAAGTCTGTTTTCTGGAAAACTCAACTCGTTGATCTCGTTATCTCGAGGTTAGAACGATGGAATAAAATAAACTGATGTTTGTCCTCTTGAGGCTTCTGTAGCTCTGAAAACATTCAGTGGTTTAGAGTGAGGAGGGGTCACTGGAGACCCAGCAGCCCATCAAATTTAATATTTGTATTAATGTTATTAAATATTATTATTCTTTACGTTACAGAAGGTCTCAGAGTTGCTTAATGTCCCACCGTCCTTGAAGGCAGCACCCCCTCCTCTCCCGCAGTGAGTCCGCCTCTGCTCCACCGACAGGCACCGACTGAGCGTGGGGAGCCGATATGCGCGCCGCGGAGGACTTTCCTATAAAAGCAGGGATCCCACGCTCACGAGCTCGTCTCTCTCCGTCACCGCCACGAGAGTCACGAGCCGTCAGCTGCGTCTTTCTCCCGCCACAGTCCGGAGGAGCCTCATCACCTCACCTGATCCTGGTCTATGGTTCTTATGACTGAAGCACCAACGAGGATGTCCCGGACCGACGAGGTGCACCGTATAACGGAGAATGTCTACAAGGTAAGAGGACCGTGTGTTCGTCTGTGTTCCCCTCGCGGAGGGACACCTGCTGCCTGAAGGACGGGGACCTCCGGCGACCCAGAGCCGGCTGAGCTCCGGGTTTACTGGTCCGCTTCAGTCGGCTATGAGTCTGTTAGTGTTTCTGTGACGAGTTCTAACGATCTGAACCAAGACCTCCACCGACATCATGTTTCATCTTTGTTATTTTATAAAGACGCCGAGCCGGTTAATCAAATCAGCTGGCTGTGATCACGTTCATCGATTAATCGTTGTTAATCGATTAATCGTTAAGTTCATTACATGGCGTTTAGGCTTCAAGAGAAATCTTTAACAAACCATGAAAAGATCTGATGTCATCAATAAATCGATTATCTGTGAACTCCATCAGGCCGTCTCATGAGTGTGAACCTGCAGGGGGGCATTCAGCCCCCGGTAGTTCTACTCAGGTTTGGGGTTTTTGTGTTCTGGTTTGGGTTTTGTTCCTGCGGATCTTACTAGCGGTCCACAAACATCTTGTTTTTGATTTTGTTGTCAGTTTCTTCTGCGGCTGTATTTGTTAATCAGCTGATTCCTTCAGACAGAAAGAAACTGTGTGCTTTGTTTAAAAGGAGCTTTTATTCTGAAAAGCTTGGACACAGGTCTCAGGTGGAGAGAGAATATTAAGTGTAGTTCTTTTTCTGGACATTGACTGAAGGGACCACCCTGCTCCTGTTCAGCAGAGATCAGGGTGGGGGTGTTACAGGAGGTGTTACAGGAGGAGGTGTTACAGGTGGAGGTGTTACAGGTGGAGGTGTTACAGGAGGTGTTACATGAGGAGGTGTTACAGGTGGAGGTGTTACAGGTGGAGGTGTTACAGGAGGTGTTACATGAGGAGGTGTTACAGGTGGAGGTGTTACAGGTGGAGGTGTCACAGGTGGAGGTGTTACAGGTGGAGGTGTTACAGGAGGAGGTGTTACAGGAGGTGTTACATGAGGAGATGTTGCAGTAGGAGGTGTACAGGTGGAGGTGTCACAGGTGGAGGTGTCACAGGTGGAGGTGTCACAGGAGGAGGTGTCACAGGAGGAGGTGTCACTGGAGGAGGTGTTACAGGTGGAGGTGTTACAGGAGGAGGTGTTACAGGAGGTGTTGTTACAAGTGGAGGTGTTACAGGAGGAGGTGTTACAGGTGGAGGTGTTACAGGTGGAGGTGTTACAGGTGGAGGTGTTACAGGAGGTGTTACATGAGGAGGTGTTACAGGTGGAGGTGTTACAGGTGGAGGTGTCACAGGTGGAGGTGTTACAGGTGGAGGTGTTACAGGAGGAGGTGTTACAGGAGGTGTTACATGAGGAGATGTTGCAGTAGGAGGTGTACAGGTGGAGGTGTTACAGGTGGAGGTGTTACAGGAGGAAGTGTTACAGGAGGAGTTGTTACAGGAGGTGTTACAGGAGGAGGTGTTGCAGGAGGAGTTGTTGCAGGAGGAGGTGTACAGGTGGAGGTGTTACAGGAGGTGTTACATGAGGAGTTGTTACAGGTGGAGGTGTTGCAGGTGGAGGTGTTGCAGGTGGAGGTGTTACAGGTGGAGGTGTTACAGGAGGTGTTACATGAGGAGGTGTTACAGGTGGAGGTGTTACAGGTGGAGGTGTTACAGGAGGTGTTACATGAGGAGGTGTTACAGGTGGAGGTGTTACAGGTGGAGGTGTCACAGGTGGAGGTGTTACAGGTGGAGGTGTTACAGGTGGAGGCGTTACAGGAGGAGGTGTTACAGGAGGTGTTACATGAGGAGATGTTGCAGTAGGAGGTGTACAGGTGGAGGTGTCACAGGTGGAGGTGTCACAGGTGGAGGTGTCACAGGAGGAGGTGTTACAGGTGGAGGTGTTACAGGAGGAGGTGTTACAGGAGGTGTTGTTACAAGTGGAGGTGTTACAGGAGGAGGTGTTACAGGAGGAGGTGTTACAGGTGGAGGTGTTACAGGTGGAGGTGTTACAGGAGGAGTTCTTACAGGAGGTGTTACAGGAGGAGGTGTTGCAGGAGGAGTTGTTGCAGGAGGAGGTGTACAGGTGGAGGTGTTACAGGAGGTGTTACAGGTGGAGGTGTTGCAGGAGGAGGTGTTGCAGGTGGAGGTGTTACAGGAGGAGGTGTTACATGAGGAGTTGTTACAGGTGGAGGTGTTACAGGTGGAGGTGTTACAGGAGGAGGTGTCACAGGTGGAGGTGTCACAGGTGGAGGTGTCACAGGTGGAGCTGTCACAGGAGGAGGTGTTACAGGAGGTGTTACAGGAGGAGGTATTACGGGTGTTACAGGTGCAGGAGGAGGTGTTACAGGAGGAGGTGTTACAGGTGGAGGTGTTACAGGAGGTGTTACAGGAGGAGGTGTTACAGGAAGAGGTGTTACAGGGGGAGGTGTTACTGGAGGAGGTGTTACAGGTGGAGGTGTTACAGGTGGAGGTGTTACAGGAGGAGGTGTTACTGGAGGAGGTGTTACAGGTGGAGGTGTTACAGGAGGTGTTACAGGTGGAGGTGTTACAGGAGGAGGTGTTACAGGAGGAGGTGTTACAGGTGGAGGTGTTACAGGAGGTGTTACAGGAGGAGGTGTGACAGGAAGAGGTGTTACAGGAGGTGTTACAGGAGGAGGTGTGACAGGAGGTGTTACAGGAAGAGGTGTTACAGGAAGAGGTGTTACAGGAGGTGTTACAGGTGGAGGTGTTACAGGAGGAGGTGTTACAGGAAGAGGTGTTACAGGGGGAGGTGTTACAGGTGGAGGTGTTACAGGAGGAAGTGTTACAGGAGAAGTTGTTACAGGAGGTGTTACAGGAGGAGGTGTTGCAGGAGGAGTTGTTGCAGGAGGAGGTGTACAGGTGGAAGTGTTACAGGAGGTGTTACATGAGGAGTTGTTACAGGTGGAGGTGTTGCAGGAGGAGGTGTTGCAGGTGGAGGTGTTACAGGAGGAGGTGTTACATGAGGAGGTGTTACAGGAAGAGGTGTTACAGGAAGAGGTGTTACAGGAGGTGTTACAGGTGGAGGTGTTACAGGTGGAGGTGTTACAGGAGGAGGTGTTACAGGAAGAGGTGTTACAGGTGGAGGTGTTACAGGAGGTGTTACAGGAGGAGGTGTCACAGGAGGAGGTGTTACAGGGGGAGGTGTTACTGGAGGAGGTGTTACAGGTGGAGGTGTTACAGGTGGAGGTGTTACAGGTGGAGGTGTTACTGGAGGAGGTGTTACAGGTGGAGGTGTTACAGGAGGTGTTACAGGTGGAGGTGTTACAGGAGGAGGTGTTACTGGAGGAGGTGTTACAGGTGGAGGTGTGACAGGAAGAGGTGTTACAGGAGGTGTTACAGGAGGAGGTGTGACAGGAGGTGTTACAGGAAGAGGTGTTACAGGAGGTGTTACAGGAGGAGGTGTTACAGGAAGAGGTGTTACAGGGGGAGGTGTTACAGGTGGAGGTGTTACAGGAGGTGTTACAGGGGGAGGTGTTACAGGTGGAGGTGTTACAGGAGGTGTTACAGGGGGAGGTGTTACAGGAGGAGATGTTACAGGAGGAGGTGTTACAGGAGGAGGTGTTACAGGAGGAGGTGTTACAGGAGGAGCTGCTGTGTTGTGGAACTGGAGCACTACGTTTAGTGTTCTTCCGATCGTCTCCGTCTTCCTGGGGGGGGGAGGGGGGTGAAAATGGCAGTGTTGGGGTTTCTTCCTGTTGTCAGCACGATGCATCGCTGTGGAGTCAGCAGAGCTGCTGCCAGGTTAACCCTCGGCTGGCTGCTGTTTGGAGGGGACTGATGCTGGCTGCTGCAGTGTGTGTGTGTGTGTGTGTGTGTGTGTGTGTGTGTGTGTGTGTGTGTGTGTGTGTGTGTGTGTGTGTGTGTGTGTGTGTGTGTGTGTGTGTGTGTGTGTGTGTGTGTGTGTGTGTGTGTGTGTGTGTGTGTGACAGAGGAGTGTGTCCTCAGTGAGGAGAGAGGAGTGTGTCCTCAGTGAGGAGAGAGGAGTGTGTCCTCAGTGAGGACAGAGGAGTGTGTCCTCAGTGAGGAGAGAGGAGTGTGTCCTCAGTGAGGAGAGAGGAGTGTGTCCTCAGTGAGGACAGAGGAGTGTGTCCTCAGTGAGGACAGAGGAGTGTGTCCTCAGTGAGGAGAGAGGAGTGTGTCCTCAGTGAGGAGAGAGAAGCTGCTGCAGCGTGGAGTCGTTTGTTCGTATGGAAATAAAAACAAACATTTTGTTTATTTTAAATCGAAGGCGTCACTCTGATGATGAACGCCGTCCGTGATACACTAGGAGACTCCCTCCCTCCTTCCTCTCTCCTCGCCCACCTGTGGTACGGCTGAACGTGAGGAGAATAAAAATGGGGGGGGGCACTTCCTTTTATGGCTGCGGAAGTGCCCCCCCTCTCGTCTCCGTCTAAAGCTGCATCTGCCTCGCTCGCCTGTTTGCAGATAAGAGCTCATCTAAAAGGGACACACACACACACACACACACATAGACACACACACACAGTGTGCCGTTAGCGTGGTGATTGCTATGCTGACTGATGTCCATTCCCCAGAAACAGAATAATAAGAGGCAAAACTATAATGTGGTGCCTTCATGGTCTCGTGTTGCCTTCATGGTCTCGTGTTGCCTTCATGGTCTCGTGTTGCCTTCATGGTCTCGTGTTGCCTTCATGGTTCTTGTGGTGCCTTCATGGTTCTCGTGTTGCCTTCATGGTTCTTGTGGTGCCTTCATGGTTCTCGTGTTGCCTTCATGGTCTTTGTGGTGCCTTCATGGTTCTTGTGGTGCCTTCATGGTTCTCGTGGTGCCTTCATGGTCTCGTGTTGCCTTCATGGTTCTCGTGGTGCCTTCATGGTTCTCGTGGTGCCTTCATTGTCTCTTCGTGCCTTCATGGTCTCGTGGTGCCTTCACGGTTCTAGTGTTGCCTTCATGGTCTTTGTGGTGCCCTCATGGTCTTGTGGTGCCTTCATGGTCTTTGTGGTGCCTTCATGGTCTTTGTGGTGCCTTCATGGTCTTTGTGGTGCCCTCATGGTCTTTGTGGTGCCT